ACTTTTTTCCTACTGGAATTAATTAGAAAGGAATGGGAAAAGCAGAGAAATACTTATTCCTTTTAACCCACAATAGTTTTCTAGGCTATTGCAACTCAGATGCACTTTTGGAAAATATGTGAAAGAGTACATTTCTGCACTTTATAGCTCGATATTCAAGCAGGGCACACTACCTGTGAAATTGAGCATGTCGCACCCAAATAGGTATGTATGTTTGCACTTTCTTTTTCTGCCAATCTCTTCAAACTCCACTTCCCAAAAGAAAGAAAAACAATTCTTGAATCTTTCTAGTATGAGCATACCCTCAGAAGGAGATAGTATTCTGCCCTGTTGCAACTGGAATGCTAGTGTAGACAGTATGTTTGTTAGGATATTAGAGGTCAATTGTTTTCTACAGTTTTATAAAAGTGTGTCAAAGTGAATCTGATTTATCAAGAAATAAATATAAACAAACTTGCCCTTCCAATACACTTGAAAATATGTCTCCCACCCACACTGGATTTTAACCTGAAGTTGTATAGACAAAATGTTGCCAGGACTTCATTTATTTCAGCAGTTTCATTTAAGCCCCTCCAGTAGGACCTCTTTTATGCGATCTGACACCACTGACAAGGACAAAAGCACAATATATATTTTTCATTAAACAGCCTTATGAGAATATCTTCAAGGATGGGCAAACACAGAAGGTTGATGAAATTATTTACACAGATGGGCCATCACTGAAGTTCAAGTGCAATGCTGAATAAGAGTAATACTTAAACACTTAGCATGACTTCCAATTCTTCATTAACTTATCTTAGACATTAACCTAGCTCAATTCACTAAAATACCCCTTCAAATAAAATAACATGTAACAAGAATACCAATTAGGATGGATTTACGTTTTGACCATGCACACCAAGAGAGAAAAATATATTTTGAACAATAAGAGGGTGTTTTACAGAGACAAAGAAGAATAGCATAATAGCATATTCTTTGGTATTACAAAGAAATAACATGAACAGTCATAGGATGATGGAAACCTGAATTGATTCCTGGATATCCTCACAACTTCTAATGAGCATCAGAAGCTATCCGGTATAAAATTGGCTTTGCCAGTACTTCAAGAAGTCGGAGATGGTCCAAAGTATGCTTCAACCTCCAGACAATCCCATGGGTTTGGGGTAGTGAGGAAACTGGGTGGGGGGTCCAATCCAGATAGGTCCACAGTACACATGGGACACAGCCACCAGCACCTTTTCCTTGTGCTCATCATAACAGTGAAAAGAGAGTGGATCATTCCTGTCTTGACACTATCACCACTCCCAGATTCTTCTTGGTTACATAGGCATCTCTGATGTTGGAACAAGGTGCCTGCAATGGCCTGAAGCTCATTCATAGCTCTGTCGTTTGATGGGAGTGGCAGCAGGACCACGGAAGGTGAAGTGACAATCCAGTGTGACCAATACAGTTTTGACTTAGCTGGATCATGTGAACGCCAACCTAGTGTTGCAGCACTATTGGCAAGGTGTGTCTGGCCACAGATTAACCAATCACCCTTAGAAACTTACCATTTAAACCTCAAAAGCACAGGCATTAATTGCAGACTACAGCAGAACCCATATCGTCACTTTCTAATTATGATTGTTTTAATCACATTACACTTAAAACCCACTGCTACAAGAACTTCTTAATCTGTGGAAAGCTGCTTTAATGAACAAGAATCTGCCTAGAGCTGGTCCTAAATCTAGATGAAAATAACTTGGTTTTCATGCCTGGCTTGGTTCTGAGTCACACTATTTGTGATTATTTGGTTTATATCAAGGCAACGGTGCCACCTGATCTCAGCTTGGACAAAGATGCTGAAGTGAATCATGTAGAAGGCATTATATATCTAGGGAGGATTGACAGGGCCAATGTCAAGTCAATAGCAACATGTGTAAATGGATCCTCCATGTGGGCATGCTATAACCTTTTAGAGAGGGTAGAGTATACCTCTCCACTGAAAAATGTAATTTTGCCTTGAAAATCTGTACTGTGGGCTTCAACAATACTGAAACTGAAGTTAACCCTTCATTGAAGAGGTTTTTGAAATAGTTTTTAACATAGTGGTGTTATTATACTAATAGAAGCACTGCTACTGCAAAGCTGCCTTGAAGGACTATGGGATTCTCTGAAACAGTGTATTATATAGCACAGAGAAGGGAAGTAAAAGGAAATAATAAATCAATATTGTGCAGCTGAAGGATACAAATAGATGTCACTATTCAGAAGCAACAGTGAAAAATGCATATGAGAAGACATGGTGTACTTGCAAAATGTAAGTACACCATGGGCTGGGCTCCTAGCACAAGAAAGAGCAATGACACCACATGACATGTCATGAAATAGGATAATTGACACCATTGTCAATAGATCTTGGAGAATTTGTCACATTTTGCAGCTTTAATAAGTACATTTGGAAAATATAGCAGGAACAAATAAACCCATGCATTTATCAATAAGTCCTCTGAAAACATACTGCTGAGGGATACATACTACTAACTGCATGGCTCTGAAGATAAAACGCCCCTTTTAGAAAATATGAAACAGATTTTTCTCTCTACTAATGCACTGGCAGACTAGAAATCCTATGGTTCCAAAGAGAGAATGCAGCGTCCTTCCAAATGGGTCATGTGGGAATTCTTCATTGCAATACAGGAAAGACAACTTATTGTCCAGCATTTATTATAACTTTTTAAATGACACTTTTTTTTACCATAAGTATAAAAACAACAGTTGTTAATTTCTGCAATGCTAGTATGGTTTCCTATTTCTAAAGGATTCACTGGAAAAAAATAAATAGCAGTATTATTTCCTAGTTCCAGGGTATCTGTTTCACTCTGTTGCTGAACCTAAGTGATGCTCCCTGAGAGCTTTGCATCATGAAGCTTCTGCACAAGTGTAGTCATGGAGAGCACAAAGCAGAAATGACAAGTACATTTAGTCCCACAGACATTTGAGCAGCCGGAATATTAATGTTTCTTTCCAAAGAGCATGAAGGAAAGGAGAATCAAGAGAATACCCCAAAATACCTATAATGGACTGTTTTATTCAGAATCTTAAATGGGACTTTTAACAGTGAGATTCCTGATAGACATTGTATTTTAGAACTGGAAGAAAAAATTATAGAGGTTTTCCCCTGTGAAAATAAATGCAATTAGAGAAAAGTTAAAGACAAGAAGTAAAAACAGCAAAAGAAATCTAGGGTGGTTTTAAGGATATAAAGAATGCCAGTATCGCAATGAAAAGGTCTCAAAATTTCTGCTGCATATTATTCATCAAGAAGCTCAATTTGAATACCAGAAAGTCTGCAGTAGAAGGAATGGGAAGGTGTGGTGGATTCACAGATCGGTTTTCTGTCCCCAGGGTCCTATGGGGCTGCATTGAGCCCCTGGCCCCAACCCCAAAAAAGGAAAACCGGAAATAACCAGAATTCTATGTATGGTTTTCAGAAATGATTTTTAAAATGTTAACCAATGTAGTATACAAAAGGGATAATTCAGCCAATTTAAATGGTTAACTGGAAATGTCCTGGACAGATAAATTACTCCTTTTACTGGATGTAAAAATGACACTATGGAGGCAGCAAAGATTTTTTAAAAAAGCATATTTTTTGACTCTAAGGAAGGCAAAGTGGCACTGAGAAGGGCTAAGTGTGGTTCTGCTCTCCCAGACTCAGACTTTGCCCTCCTCAGTGCCATGATATCAAGGTAGCTTCTGATATGCTAATGTCTGGAGGGAGGGATTAAGTAAAAAAAAAACAAAAAACAAATACTGAGCAGTACCGCAATGTCTGTAAGGCAAGTGGACAGGGAAAACAGTCATTCACAGTTTCAGAGAAAGGGCAGAGCCAGTTAATGCTGATGGATAAAGGCTAAATGGAAAGATAAATAAGGAGCAACAATGGTCAGAGAAAAGGGTCAGGAAGACACTAAAGTGTCTTTAGAACAAAGCTATTTGTGATAATTTAAAGAAGTGAGGCACACCATACAGAAAGGCTTCCTAATATGAGATTTTTTTTATCCTGTCAGAAGCAAATTGAGAATATACTGCAAATCGCTTCTGATGTGAGAGAATCAGCCGTCTACAGAGACGTTGCCCAGGGGACACCTGGATGTGTTACCATTCTGTAGGAGGCTTTTCTCATGTCCCTGCATGGGAAGCTGGGGCTGACAGACAGGAGCTCACCTTGTCTCACAGACTCAAACTGCCAACTGGCAGTCTTCAGGTCAGCAGTTCAGCCAGCCCAAGGTTTTAACCTATTGCGCCACTGTGGCTCCTGAGATAAGATCATCAGACTGAAATTGAGAATGGCAAAACAATGCTAAAAAGGATTTTAATTAGGGCGCATATCTAGAACACTATTTTGTCTGTACCTTTCATAGCCCTTGAGTTGTTTCAAAGAGAAGGGGAAAAATGCTAAAATTTGCATAGGAAGGCAGCAAATGATAATTTTAAGCCCAATGAACCTGATAATGGAGGTACGAATCATCATCATCCATTTATCAACTAGTGTCCCCAAAATGGTATCCCACTGTTTTGAAAAATAGTGTTAATATATATAGTTTCAATTGTAAAGAAATAAATATATTAAAAGTGCTTTAGGAGGACTAATTATTATTAACAGTGACATTTTATTGATTGATTCTTATTAACAAGGAAAAATAAATTGAATCTTTTTCTGGTTTTGTATCAAGTAATCCTTTTGAAGAGCAAACACCATAAGCAAAAATAATAAAAAGATTATTCAAATGACACAGGCTGGATTGACACTGAGTGACCCCTGTTCTTGATCTAATCATAAAAGAGAAGCAAGAATTATCTTTGCTATGTGTACAGTCCTTTTTGTTACTGTAGATGAACCAAAACAACATAGTATTATTGTATCATTAGAACAAAATACTTCTAAATTGTGGACACTACAAGAAAATGAATAACAGAAAAATCATACAGGCATATGTGCATTTTTCCAGTCCCACCTTTTTGTAGGCAATCCAGTCGAACACTCTGTCAATGTCTGTGGCTTGTTGTACTTCCTGAGATACCGGGTGTGAACTAGCCAGGCCATCAAGCAACATTACTTCATGCAAGACATCTGTCAGAAACCTTTGCTTCTCCTGCAACACAGCAAAACACACTGATACAATTTCGATTACATGAATGTGAATCTGAAAAGATGGCAGTTTCACACATTACTTTTACAAAATACAGATGCACAATGATATCCTGTGGGCCGATGGGCCAGAATCATATTCAGAAAGACAATGGTGAAGAACCTATCCCTGCTGAGCCTTCACATTTTGATCAGAGTTCCAACAGATCTTTGGAGGAATGCCACTGGAACTTAAGAAATGAAAGAAGATAACCATCATTAGATTACATATACATAGGGTTGTAAATACAGGTGACTACAGCCACAGCAAAATCTTGCACAGAGATACAGCATTGTTTCCAAGAGTCAGTTGTAGGTATTGTCTATTCCAGGGGTCCTCAAACTTTTTAAACAGAGAGCCAGGTCACAGTCCCTCAAACTATTGGAGGGCCAGATTATAATTTGAAAAAAAAATTAATGAATTCCTATGCACACTGCACATTTCTTATTTGTAGTGCAAAACCACTTAAAAACAATACAATAATTAAAATGAAGAAGAATTTAAATAAATATAAAATCATTAGTATTTCAATGGCTTTTAGCTGATGAGATAGGATTGTTGTTGTTGTTGTTGTTGTTGTGTGCTTTCAAGTAGTTTCAGACTTAGGTTGACCCTGAGCGAAGGCCAGGTAGATGACCTTGGAGGGCCTTATCTGGCCCCCGGGCCTTAGTTTGAGGACCCCTGGTCTATTCCATAATACAAGAATGCCAGGAAATTGATGTCTTCCCAAGCTCAAATTTCCCTAATTGGTTCCCTTATTTTGTCATCATCACACCACCATTTAGCAAGATAGGAATTCATCACCTCAAATTTTCAAGTTGTATATCCATGGTTTGTGTATTAGTCAAGTTATTAGTAAATTATGCTAAATAAATAATGTAGTTGAAACCTTTATTAATATTACAGATTTTTTTTCAATGACATAGACCTGTTGTATTTGGGATTTACAAGCACTGTGCTTCTGTGTTTCCAGTTCTTGGTAGATGATACTCTCAGAAACGGATGTTGGGGATGAATTCCTTTCCTGCCCTCAGCATGAGGATAGGGAAACACTTTGCTCCTTCCAGAGAAGGGAGAGACAAGAAAATAGTCCTAGCTGGAACTTGTTGTGGGTAGGATCAGCGGAAGCATGCTCCCTGCCCAGCTCATTCCGTTGATGACATTGACCGCCCCCCCCCCCACCTCCTCAACAGTGTACTTTACATGGGTCGCCAATGAGGTCAGGTAGGAATTTCCCCCTCTAAGTTCTGGGGGAGGGGGATTGCCTACCCTACATTGTTTAATCCATGGCAAATTGGGTAAAGGGGTCCTAAATAGGCTTCATGCGCATAAAAGAGTGACAGGTACAGGAGAAGGGAGGTTGGTGCTGAATTCTCCACCCATTTATCTGATGGGTCCCCTTGGGAACAACATTTGGGTTGCATCCAGGGAACATGGTGTCTTGCTCATTGTTTTTGAGGATGAGTTAGTCTCTGAGGGTCACTGCCTCATTTTATTACACAGCAAATTCAAGTATAAGTTCAAGTATAAGTTCAAGTTCAAGTTCAAGTTAACCCACAATCTTGTGTTGTCTTATGATTTCACTGGTGGGAGAACAATGTCCACCCTCCTAGCCATTAATTTGTTTGTGTCGATATTATCTCACATGTTTTTCAACATCTATGTGAAATAACTGGGGAAGGCCAGCCAAAAGGAGAGGCAGGTAATAAATAGGGAATTGTTGTGGTTGTGGTTGTTATTGTTTTGGGATTGGTAAAATCTCACAGTCTTTAAACATTCATAACACTAAATAATGATGTGTTAAAGTAACATGTATGTTGTCATTAGTTATCCTAGGATTAAGTTTAATCAAATTTAGCATATTAAGAACAAAAAGAAGCATATTGCAGTTTGATTCAAAAGAAGCCCTTTTCTTCATGGATGGGATGTGAACATCCCCCTGCAGAGTCAAGTCATCCTTTTAAAAAGTAAAGCAGGGAAAGTGTGCGTGGCTTAACAGTTTCTCACCAGCCTTTCATTGTTTGCACCTATGAAAACACTAGAAATATTGTAAAGCAATCTAGGGGATGCATACCTCTTTGGTTGTATTTCAAAAGGATTTACATTCTGAACTGCTTTTAAGGTTTGTGGAAGACACAATGGCAAGCTCTGAAAGTTATGTTTCATATAGGAAAGAGGGAGAAAGTAGCTCACTTATCTAGCTAATGCACCTGATTTTCTTATCAAACTTTCCAAGTAACTGAATTTTAACAGTAAGAAAAAAAGCACAAAACAATAACAAAAGATTCTTGAGCAACTGTAGTTTCTCTTCAGAACACATACCATTTCCAGGTCTCACTGTATTATTTGTGAAAAGCTAATGAGGACTTTTTCACACCCTGTTCTCCTCAGAAAGGTTACATATCAGTCTTCTCTCACAGTTAATATCTCCTCCTTTTTGCCTTTCCTCATCAGAAAACTAGGAAAGCAGCTCTGAGGGATTTGCCAGCTCTCCAGAATATTTTTGGGTTAATGTAGTGGGTTGCAATGAAAAGCATATCACCCCCTTTGCAATTCCTCAGTTTTGATTATCTTGTCAGAGGAACACTACAACTGGATGTTGCCCACATACATGAAAATACTCTGTTAGGCTAAAGATCTCAACCATGTCCTAACGGTTAAGACAAGCAAGTGCAAACTGTTGGAATCTATGCATCAAGTATAATGCTACAAAAAACACTTTTTGGGAGAAGAAACAAGAGCAAGAAAGGCTGAGGCCCCTTCTACACTGCCCTATATCCCAGGATATGATCCCAGTTTACTTGCTTTAAACTGGATTATATGAGTCTACACTGCAATATAATCCAGTTCAAAGCAAATAATCTGGATTTTATATTAAGTGTAGAAAGGGCCTGAGTGGATTGTCATGGTGTTTGCATGAATTTTAGCATTTAACAGACGAGGACATGTCTAGAGAAGATAAAATTATTTTATGAGTGATATGAATTGTGAAATATTCTAAGATTGTTGTGAGATGAAATCAAAGTATTTTATTCCCTTTTGAAAATATTTAAACTATATAGACTTTAGGTTTAAATTCTGTGTTTCGTTAGTAGATATGGGCTATCATGACAACACATCTGGGGAAATAAACTAGGGACCTTATCAGATGCAGTCTACTCCCCATTTCTCTGTGCTGCCCAAACAGAGTCTCAAGGATCCCAGGACATAATGCAGAACAACTTCCAGCAGGACTCTGTGAGGCTCAGTTTCAGCAGTGTGAAGAAACAGAGTCCATAGTGCTTTTGGAGGAGTTGGGTGTTACTGACATCTAATGGCACAAAATGGAGAAATGTGAGGGAAAGGCAGACCTGACATGGGAAAGGACATGGGATAGCAGCAGATGAACCTGGGCAGGAGATAACAGAGGAAGATGGTTCCCTCCACTGACCCACACCTTCCCCTGCCTTCTCCCAGCCCATCTGATGAAGTCCCTAGTCTACGAAAGCTTATGCTATCAACTTCAGTTAGTCTAAGGTGCAGAAATAACTAGAGTAACCTGCCTGATGTAGACACAGCCTAGGTCTATTTATTCTATAAAAATGGCAAGAACGCAATATAGCTACAACTCTGCTCCCCTCCTGAAAATAAGAGTGAAAATGAGTGTAAGTTTACAACAATGTAGATTCCCAAAAGAGATGAGAATACCAGTCTTTACCTTAAAGTAATGGTTTTATTTATTGGGACATAAATAAAGACTTAAAATAGTTAGCATGACAATAATAAAATTCTTGAACCAGACACAGGAAAATAGTTTCCAAACTAAATAGGAAAATGCGGGCCAAAAGAATGTAAGATTAGGGCAGAACCTGGATTGCATCCAGCAGCAGAACAAGAAGAAGAGCACAATGTAAGTCATTACTGATGATAACCACACATCAGAGATCAAAGGGCTGAAAGTTAAAAGAGTGTCATTTTAAAGAGAGAACTATTCATACAATTCAGTTATTAAAAACTTGTGTGGATAATATTTCCATTTTTAAATTACATCTATATAAATAAAAATGTAATGTTTGTTTGTGGGATTAACAACTCAGAAACCACTGGACGAATTGACAACAAATTTGAACACAAGACAACAACTAAAGCAATCTATGTCCTTCACTCAAAAAAACAAAAAAAAATTAACCAGAAAGAACTTAACCCCCCCCCCCACAAGCCTAAATGACTATCAGAGCATGTGTTAAAAGAACACCCTCCCCCACCCCTCCCTCTTGCACGAGAGAGGTGGCTTGAGAGAGGGAGGGAAAAGTGGCTGGTATATCCCTCTTGTTAACTCCTGCCTCTTTCTTCCCAAAGGATTCAGAGAGGGAGGGAGGGAGGGAGGAGAGAGAGAGAGAGAGAGAGAACACCTCCAGATCTAACCCCTCCCTTTCCTTCTCTTTCTTTTCCTTTCCTTTTTTTTCCCTTTCCCTCTTGGGAGTTATAAATACAATATTTTATATATTGTTATATAGATTACTATATAATATGTTACTATTATATATTACTATATAACACAAATTAAATAGACTTATAGAATAGAGTTGGAAGGGACAGTCAAGAAATAACGAGAGAAGGAGGGAAAGAGGGAAGGAATGAAGGAGGGAAAGGGGGAAGGAGGGAAGGAGGGAAGGAAAGAAGGAAGGAAAGAAAGAAAGATAGAGAAGCAAGGAAGGAGAGTAGGAAACAAAAAATGAAAGAAAAAGACAGGGAAGGAAGGAAGGAAGGAAGGAAGGAAGGAAGGAAGGAAGGAAGGAAGGAAGGAAGGAAGGAACCAAAGAGCAAAGAAAGGGAGGAAAGAAACAGGTAGAGATGGAAGAAAGAAGATAAGTAGGAAGGGAAAGAAAAAGAGGAAAGGAACGAGAGAAAGAGGAAGGGAAGGTTGACCACAGCAACGCATGGCGGGTACAGCTAGTTTCTAATAAAATGCTCTATTATACCCT